TTTTTGTATCTGCTTGGGGACATGCAATTATGCATGCAACAACACTAATAAAATTAAGACCGACAAGCTATTATAGTTACTCCTCAGTACAATTGATGTACAATAAAAAGCCCAATATTTCACATTTGGGAACTTTTGGGTGAAGTTTATGTGTCAATTGCACCACCCCAACATATAAAAATGGGCCTCCAGTGGAGATTGGGGATATATGTCGGGTATGAATCACCATCTATCATTAAATATTTTGAACAATTAACTAGTGATTCGTTTACAACTCATTATGCTGATTGTCATTTTGACGAGTCACATTTCCCTACATTAAGGGGAGAAACTAATCAATTGAAAAAGGAAATTACTTGGAAAATACCATTAAGTTTTCTTGATCCTCGTACAAGTCAAAGCGAATTAGAGGTGCAAATAATTTTACGTTTGCAGCGAATAGCAAATCAGTTGTCTAATACTTTTTGTGATGCCAGCAGGGTTACTAGATCTTATATAGCTACTGAAAATGTACCTGCTAAAATTGTTATTCCTGAAGAAAATATACAAAGTGCTAGTAAATCAAATACACGCCTAAAGCGTGGCAGGCCTGTAGGTTCCAAATATAAAAATCCTCGAAAAAAAATATGAACAAATAAAAGGGTTGATGATTTGGATGTTAATTAAAACCCTCAAGAAACAGGGAGTAACATAGATCAGATTTCTGATGAAATTGATCCTGATAAACTTGCTGATGATGTTAATCCTAATAGAATTCTCCTGAAGAGAATGAAATTATTGAAAAATCAATAAATTATGTTACCAATTGAAAGTATTGGAATCAAAATGATACAATTTGGATAATACTTTTGCATATAATGTAGCACTTGATCTAATAGAAAATGACGAGGATCCAGAACCTAAATCAGTTGATGAATATTGGACAAGAATAATTTAGCCAAAATGGAAAAAATGTGATCCAGTCTGAATTAAATTCACTGGAAAAATAGAAATTTTTTGGACTAATTGTTCAAACACCCGAAGGTGTTAAGCCTGTTGGCTATACATGGGTATTTGTTCGAAAACAAAATGAGAATAATAAAATTTTCAGATATAAAGCAAGACTTGTTGCCCAAGGTTTTTCACATAGACCTGGAATTGATTTTAATGAAACACATTCTCCAATAATTGATGGAATAACATTTCGATATCTTGTCAGTTTGACAGTACATGAAAATTTGGATGTACGTCTAATGGACGTCGTAACTGCCTATTTATATGGCTCATTAGATACTGATATTTATACGAAAACCTCTGAAGAATTTAATATGTCTTATGCATACAAATCAAAGCCAAAAGAATGTTATTCTATTAAATTACAAAAGTTTTTGTATGGGCTTAAGCAATTTGGTCGTATGTGGTATAATCGTCTCAATGAATCATTATTGAAAGAAGAATATGCCAATGATTTTGTTTGTACATGTGTTTTTATAAAGAAAAAATGAGATAAATTTTGTGATAATAGCTGTTTATGTGGATAATTTGAATATAATTGAAACCCCTGAAAATGTCTAAGAAGCTATTGAATATTTGAAAAGGGAGTTTGAAATTAAAGAGTTTGGAAAAATGAAGTTCTGTTTTGGTCTACAAATTGAACGTCTGAAATATGGAATTTTGATACATCAATCTGCATATATCCAGAAGATATTGAAACGATTTGTAATGGATAAAACACATTAATTAAGTACTTCAATTGTCGTTAGAACTCTTGATAAGGATCCTTTTAGACCAAAAGAAGAGAGTGAGGAAGTACTTGGTTCTAAAGTACCATATTTAAGTGCTATTGGTGTACTAATGTATTTGGCTAACAGTACTAGACCATACATAGCATTTTCTGTAAATTTATTAGTCATATTTAGTGCAATGCCAACACAACGACATTGGAAATGAATTAAACATATTTTTCATTTTCTCCAATGCTCTATTGATCTCGGTCTATTATATCTAGAAGGATTTCGATATAAATTAATTGGATATGCAGATGTTGGGTACCTTTCTGACCCACCTGCATATAGTCAAGTCAGACTGGCTATATATTTACTTGTGATGGTATAGTGGTATCCTGAAGATCCACTAAACAAACATTAACCGCAATATCTTCGAATCACGCTGAAATAACAGCAATTCATGAAGTTAGTCGAGAATTTGTTTGGTTGAGATTAATGACTCACCACATTTTAAAGAATTGTGGTTTGAGATTTGAAAATGATAATCCTCATACTATTTTATACGAAGATAATGCAGCTTCTATAGCGCAACTGAAATGAGGATATATCAGGGGAGATATAACGATACATATTTCACCTAAATTTTTCTTTACTCATGATTTTCAGAAAAATAGTGAAATGGATGTGTTGCAGATTCGATAAAATGATAATTTAGCAGATTTATTGACCAAGGTTTTACCAACTGCAACGTTCGAAAAATTGGTGAAAAACATCGGGATGCATCGACTACGAGAATTCAAATGATGTCCACATCAGGGGAGTATTTTTAATGCATGAATATCATACTCTTTTTCCTTTACAAGGATGTTTTGTCCCAGTGAGTTTTTTTTTCTAATAACGTTCTAACGAAGCATATTCATTGCAGGTAAATGATACCTAAGGGGGAACGTTATAACTCATTTTATTATATAATTAGGTGTTATTGTAGAATCATGTCATGTAGCAAATTGGATGACTAATCATTTTCTTAATTGTCTATATAAGGGGATTTGTACTTAATGAAATGTAACGACTGATTTTTGCTTTCTTCCATCTTATCTCTTGCTCTCTCTCTATCTCTCTCTATATATAAGAATATTCCATATATATTATATATCTATTAAATTGCGTGTATAACTTATACACACGTTAGATGCATGCACATATATAAATATTTTATTTTATTTATTTGTTATATATTTTATATAAATAATTCAATTAAATCGGTAAAAATCTACATAAATCAATTAATAAAGTTAATAAAATTTTGTATAGAAATTAATTATGAATTTCTTTAAATCCACAATTTTTTAAAATTTTTAAAAATTGAATAAAATCTTAAATAATGTACCCTTTTACTTTCTAAAATTTTATATAGTAGTTAATTATGAATTTCTTTAAATCCACATTTTTTAAAATTTTTTAAAAATTCAATAAAACCTTAAATAATGTACCCTCTTAATTTCTATATACTTACTCATCTAAAATATATATTAAATTTAAATTAAAATACAAATTACAAAAAAACAAAAAAAAATGTTTGGACCGAATCAACAATGACTTTTTAAATTGGTAGTACATCAATTATTTAATATTCACATCAATGATTTCTACTTATGACATCCTCACGTTTTTTCAGAGAATCTTAAATAATAAATAAAATATGGAGTATATTTTATGTACAATATTTTCTCTCTAATCCAAATGTATTTTTATTCTCTTTCTAAAATATAGAGAATAAGAACATATTTCAATGGAGGTAGCATTATATATATATTTTTTAATATTTATTAAAAGTTATTTATTTCGTCTTATAAAAAAGATATTTTTCTTTTATATTTGATAAATTTTACTAATTTAATATATATTTAATGAATATAAATTAATTTAATTAATTTCATAACATATAATATCATATTATTATCCATTTAAAACCACTTTATTTATATCTTTCTCCTAAATAAATAAATTTTTTTATTTATATTTAAAACTTTCACTGTTTTATAAAATTAATTTAAATTAATCATAAATAAATAAGTAAATTTTTTATTTACTTATATTATATAAACTTTTATTTTTATATCATAATATATATTATTATATTTTATTAAAATATAATTTTTTAAAATATAAATATATATTCCAAATTTTTTGAATTATATATATTATTTCTAATTTTAAAATTATTAATAATATTTTTACGTAAAAAAAATTATAAAATAATACCATAATCTTTATTATTAACTAAAGTAAATATTATAATTCAAATAAAAAATATCATTAACCACGAGATGGAGTATATCACTAAAAAATATTGAAAAACACATCATATCTATATACTCCATGTATTAAAAAAAAAAAAAAAAAAAAAAACGAGCACGGTAAGGTCAATGATAGTGATATGACATGTGGAAACTTCATCATCATCATTATTATCATCATCATCATCATCATCATTGGTTTGTTGACTGTTGACCTACGTACGTAGGGTTTGTTGGAGGAATTTTGGTATCATTATGATGTAATACAAAATTTAGGAATATCCTAATTTCTTTTAATTCGTTGGATAGTTTTGATTGTAATCCAACAGTTTAATTGGAGTATTTTGGTAATTTAAAAAATTAATTAAAGATTTTTAATTAAAACAATTAATTAGAAAAAATTATTTCAACTACTTTCAATATATTCTTAATTAAATTAATTAAATAAAATAAAAAATATTTGCAAATAATTACTTTTCAAAATGGTACATATTCAAAATATAATGATATATATGGTATCACAATTGATGTCTTTGTAATATTATTATAATGTTATATTGTGAAATGCACTCCATATGTAATTTACTCTAATGATGTTCAAATAAATATATTATGATGCATTCTCTTAATTCGCAGATTATTTATTATAACCGGATAAATTTGACTTTTTGTTTCCTAAAATACAATATTTCTTCACCATATGTTTATATGCATGGTATATAACTTCAATAGGTATCCTTCCGATCTTATAATTCACGAGGGTTCTGAAAAAGTTACAGTAACCGGATGGAGATAGATCAACGGTTAAGATCATGGTTCATTGTCGCGAATCGGCCTTCACAGTTTCAGATACGTCGCGGCGTATCGTCTCGATGTATCGGTCAAATATCCGTAAAAAATTTAAATATAAAATTTTATATTTTTTAATTATAATTAATAATAAGTAATTAAAATAATTAAATATAATTAATTTTATAAAATTAAAAGTTAAATAATTGAATTCAGTTATAATTTGAATTATTCTTAATTTTTGTAATACTACTACTTTAAAATTTAATTTAATGTAGCCTCTCTCCCACCCACTTCATCTTCTCCAATCTTATCCCTACCAAAACCGATTTCTATTTCCCTAACACACCCTATTTCTTCTTCTTCCTCCTACTTTTTCGGCAGATCAGCTTTTTTCTTCGATAAGGCACTACAGATAAGGCACTGATCTTCGAGAGAAGAGAGTCTTGCTTGGCTGAATTCGTAGAAGCCAACTTGGCATAAAAGGAAGAGCACATCTGGATATGTGTTCATTTATGGTGGGACAAAAATATCATGGACTTCGAAGCTGCATAAGGTAATTGTTTTGTCGACAATAGAAGCTGAGTACATTGAGTGCCGAAGGCTAGCAAGGAGAAGGTTTGGCTGCAAAATTTTATGCTTGAATTGGGTAGAGATCTGAAAAATAGTAGTTTGTATAGCGACAATCAGAGCGCAATCCACTTGACAAAGAATCCTGCATTCCATGTAAGAACGGAACATATTGAGTTGAAGTTTCACCATGTTCGTGAGTTATTGGAGAAGGGGATTATGAAATTGGAGAAAATTCAAGGATCAAAAAATTCAGCAATCATGTTGACTAAGGTGGTATTCTTAGATAAATTGAGATTATGTTCAACCTCAGTTGGCCTCTGATGAGTGAAGAAGGATGCTTAATGAAGTAATTTAGGGCATTAATGGAACATTACTGTAATCACACTGTGCTACAAAACAAAAGCTAAAGCAGAGCACAGCATGTGTGTAATTTACCTTACTGGGCTGATGCAGCATTTTGATTCGCCTAGCTTCTTGAATTTCCCTCATCAATTCTTCCATGTCCTGATCATAAAAACAAAAGGACAAGTATAATTTACATTGAAGATTTGCGAATTGCTAGGGGAGATGAATGATCGACGTCAGAATAGCTAATTTTGAAAGTTAGAAACTTCAAAAAGTTTTCGACTGTATTAGATGCATTGCAAGATGTTTCTGAATTCTTGACTTTCTAAAATGGTAAAGGGAAGGATTTGCATCAGAAACCTGTTTGCCAGAAGTTCTTTCCTGTTCTTGGAAGGCTTCTTCCACTCTCTGTACAGCTCCCCTTGCATTCTCAATTTCAACCCGTGCACAGGCTCTTTCTTCATTAACATGTTTTTTGGCATCTTCATAAGCCTGCAATGCACTAGGTAGAAAAATCAATCGGCGCAGTGATAACTAAAAAATATTATAGCATCGCATTTCACAATTCACGTCCACTGGGATGGGATGGTCAACATCAGTACAAAGGAACAGCTCATTGCAACACAGATTCTATAATGAAGAAGAGTTTCCATAAAGTTCTGGGATGATCGAGGAAGTAAAATCTTAGCATCTAACAGCCGCATTTAGTGAATTTTACCTGTTTCAAGAAAGCAGCGACTTTTTTCATTTCAGCATTCTCGTGAAGCAACTCTTCTTCACTCTTGGTCAATTGAATCGTTAAAGCTTCAACCTGGGGACATAACATAAATGACACATGGGAATGTCTGTCAGCACTAAAATTTTGCAATAAAGAAGGTGAGGCCACGTTAAAAGATGGATACTGAAGCATAATCAGATAACAAACCATAGCCATAGCATCCTCCAAATCATCTCTGTTCTTCCCAGCTACACGCCCTCTCAGAGCTTGAAGTGCATCTTTGAGTTTCTTTATAAGTATGTGCTTCTCCAATGAAACAACCTCTTTTAGTCTTGCCTGAATCCACAAGTAGATGACATTAGAACTGCAAGAGACATGCATCGCTTGCCTGGAGTAAGTTTTGAGGTAGTAATAACACTAATGTTTCAAACGTTTGCTACTCAAGATACTAAGCAAAATCTGAACGAACAATACTATTTTTCCATAAGAGATTAAACCTCTTCCGAGAGCTTTGCAGCTGCAGCCAAACCTTTCTCAAATTCCTTGCAAGGTCGCATACCGATATGCGGTTATGCTGCTCCAGTAACATGGCAGTTTCCCTTGCAACTGTAGCTTTCATGGGCAATGAATTGGAGTACTCTTGATATTCTACAATCTCATCGTCAGCCCCTATTATATAATCTGGAAACCGACTTGTAGTGAAATGTACATGGGCAGACACTTGTGAACCTGCATCCTTTTGCATTGTGTAGCTAAAACCCCAGCTTAACCTCGTCATATAATTGGATCAGCAGTTACTTCAAATAGATAACAGCAGTTCAACCAACAAGCTAAGATCAACTAAGAGACAGTATCACGTTTACATTGTTATACTAATAAACTCAGGCAGTTAACCTGATCTTTAACCCTTGCTTCATTCAAGAAAACAAAGCGAAAAATTTGCAAGCTCACACCCAAGAAATTGAGCATCAAAGAAATTCCCAAATTTCATAACCATATCATTCCTTACCAACGGAAAATCAAAACAATATGAACAAAACCAACAAACAAACACACCAAAGACAATCCAAGCATCACATATAGATGAAAGCATAAACTCAGAATCAACTTCATCAACCCAGAAAAGACAACAAAGCACAATACCGAGGCATAAAGAAACTACTGAAAACCCAGAGATTTTTATCACAAAAAATGTTACTCACAGATGATGAATATACAAAAACTAGGAGATCTTTGTCCTGGAAAGTAGAAGGGATAAAAAAACGATTGTAATTTATAGAGCAGAGAAATTGACTACAGAGCCAAAGAAGAAGGATCATAAGTCTGAAGAAGGTAAGTGGAGAGGAAATGATTCCGTATGCTTTTCGAAGCCCCCAAAAAAGAAGGAAAACGAAATAATCGCCCGCCTTCTCCCAGCACTCCATTAACGACAAGCTGCCCCGTGTGTGGTGTGGTGCGGTGTCTTTCATACCTACCTTTCAATTTCAGATGGGAAAAAAGATGAGAGATGGCTTTGATTGAGAAATAGGAATCCATCACCATCCTTACTATCTATCTGATTAAGGAGACCCGACCCTCCCTCCATCGGATCGAAATCACTGGTTTTGCTATCTTGATCAGATTTCTGTGCTGCATTGAACCACGATGCCCAGAAGAGATAATTCCCAAAATTGATGGCACTAAGGACGGCTAAAAACCAGTAGAAATAGCTGAGTCTACTGTGGTCCAAGTCAGACGCCTGTAGCCACCCTTGTTTGTCTGAAGTGATCTTCTTGGTGACAGCATTGAAAATGTGGACGAACGCAGTGCTCAAGAAATACCCAAAGGACAAGGACAGTAGAGTCAAGGATGTGGACAGAGACCTCATCCCAGATGGGGCCTCTTTGTAGAAGAACTCCATCAGGCCGACCATGGCGAACATGTCTGCAACTCCAAATACGCCGTACTGGAATGAGAGCCAGAAGAGGCTGATCGGCGGCTTCTCGGGATCTGCTAGAGCTTGTTCTCTTCGTTTCACCTCTACTATTCCAGCTATTACCTGAGAAAAACAATACATAATTTAAAAGGACTAGACTAGAGAGAAGCATGTATGTAATGTAAGATTATTGTTACCAATACCATTGAAAGGACAGAGAGAGCTAGGCCAATGCCTACGCGTTGGAGCTGAGTTATCCCGCTAGGATGGCCTGTGATCTTTCGTGCAAATGGGATGAAGAAGATCTCGTAGAGGGGGAGAAAAATGGCCATGAAAAGCAATGGAATAACTGGTATGGATGGGGACGGAATGTTTAGAGTGGCCAAGTGAGGCTCCATGATGGATCCTTGGAGGACTGAGAATGTCTGCAGCTGTGCCAAGCATGTATTCAGTATTATGGTGCTCCCAAAGATTGGAGCCATCCGTAGCAGTATCTTCACTTCTTCTACCTGTGTTACTGTGCAGACTTGCCGTCGGGGCCAAGGAACAGCAGCTTTGTCAAGGAACCTGAACTGATCGGTGTGCACAACCCTTTCTTCACAACTGTCCCTTCCTTTATACAATTCATCCGAGTTTTCAGGCAAGCTAAGATTCCTGTTCCGAATTGCACCAATAATCACCTGCAAATCCACCCAGAAAGAAATTATGTTACTTACTTCATTCATACAAACCAAACCAAACAAATCCAATCCAATCCAAACCTCAAGAAGCAAGTTTCCAAGATATTTTGACAGACCTGTGATATCCTAACAATGGGACTTGTTGCCAGAGGCTGGAACAAGTAGAAAGGCTTTCCAAGAGCAAGCACAACAAACCCGACGAAAGCAGTCACAAGACTGGTGAAGAAAGCCCAGTGCCAGCCCTTATCCAGGGCAATCCACACCACTGCCGTCACTCCTATCAGGGATCCTATGGTCGTGCTGAACTGGAAGTAGTTGAAATAGCTGGCAACGCCCTTGGCACCTTCAGGATCCGATCGATCAAACTGATCAGCACCGAGTGCGGCAATGGATCCCTTTACTCCGCCATACCCTAAAGCCAACATGCACAAAGAGGTATAAAACATGAAGGCCTTGCCGCCATGGATGCAACTCTGCTTGTTGTTGCATGGATCAGGATCAGGCTGCAGGTTCTTGGTATTCGCCTGGATTGTAAGCATTAGCAATCCCTAAATACAAAAGAGGACATTAGGCTCCAACAAGGAATAGAATTGTAAATGGTTTCTGTTCTACCAGTACCAGTATTTCAAGAAAGCCGAAAAAGAGGCAAGTATGGAGCCTGTTGAGGTAAGTATCTGAGATGAAGCCTCCTACAACCGTGAGTAAGAACGTCGAACCAAGAAAGTTCGTAAGAGTGTTGGCTGAGGCAGAAATGCTGAAGAAGAGCCCGCGGTGGAAATAGAGATACATTGTCGATATGTTTGCAGCAAATCCAATGTTCTCCAGGGCTCCCAGAACTGCCACAGCGCAAAACTTTCGATATTACTGTCGTTATACACATGAGCAGATTCATAAATACAGAGCTGATTCAACTTACCAAAAACAAACATGCAAGCCCTGAATCCACCCTGCTTTCTGGGCTCCATGGAATACAGCCTTTCCTGCATGTAAACAAGATGAAAATGAGCATCATGGAGAAATATGGTCCGGGAAGATGCACCTTGAACTCGTACCATGCGTTCGGACAATCAGACAGCACCGTTGTTTATACGATGATCTGAAATCTCTCAGGTCTGATATTCCAGTATGTGTTCCTGGATGAAAATACACTCATTGAATCTTATGCATTCTAAAATAAATTCTGGTTTGAGAATCATACCTGAAGAGCAAAAGCATGAAGCTGTGCCAATGCATATCCCTGGATTTGTATTTACTCCACTTTGCCTAGACTTTTAAGGAAATTCAGACAGAAGTATAGTCAGATGAGATACTGTTAGCAATATCTGATCTGGACAAAATTCCAAAATAAGGTCCCATGGAAAGTCCACATCAGGAGCATTTTGGATGAAAATATTCTGTTAGCCTGCAATAAAACATACTCTATTAAACTTGAAAACCATCATCAGCTTTGGATACCTGTTTTTGTACACTGCATTCCTTGGCCACTAGATTCAATATTAAACCTGAATACCTCCTATCATCTCTTTGGCTTTAACTTGTAGCTTCTTGATCAGTTATATGATTATAAGGAAAAATCAAAATAAACATACACAATGTTTACAAGGTTGGTTTATAGACAATACAATCCAACACAACAAACATGGCCATATAGAATCATAAATAGGTGGCAATCATTCAAAGTCCTTTTGACATTTTGAAGAAGGGCCTGATTTCAGCAACCTGGTAATAAAGGAAAAATCAGCTGGAAAGATTTTACTTTCGAGAAACAACCCTTGCAAATGAGTGTTTGAAGGGCAGTGATATCTAAATAATCTGGGACTTCAACTCAGACCCTGCCAGTATAAGATTCAAGACATTAACATGTGTTCTTGAACTGAGAAAGGTAACCCACTTACAAATATGCCCATTCCATAGAGAGAAAGAGATATGAAATCTGGGAAGGATTTCCCAATACTATACAGCAATCAAATTCATAGAATAAGCAGAAACACAGACAAGTATGCAAAAATATGTAATACTCAAAAAACATCATGTTATAGTACATATCCACAGCCAGAAATCGAGCAAAGTCCCAAATGCTTCAACATAAAATTCATAGTATATCATGATGCCAATGTTTTGATGGGGACTTGTATGCAGTAGTAGCAGCCATCTTTATATATGATTAAGACCTTGAGTTTATAATATTCTTAGCAGCATCCAATGTTAATTCTTCATACACCTGCATGACAGAGACGAATGTCACCATTGTTTATAGGAAAATTAATACGAAATATCATATTCAATTATGTGGGTAACTGCAGTAGCAGAAGTAAACAAGGATTTATTTATTTCTTCAATTCCCTTACTAGTTTCTTATAAACTTGTTGAAACGCCTTGCAAAAATTTTCAGCATCAGCTGCACCCACCTGAAAAACGAGAGTGAGTGATAGAAGTATGGAAATTTATTTCCTTTCACTATACAGAGTGATATGCAAGTGATGAACCAGGAATACTATAGAAAAGCTCAAGTTCAAACCTAAGCTGGCTGGTAATGTCACTTATCGATTAAACGCAATTCGGTACTGTATTTCATTGTCTGTTAGATAACAAAAAAGAAATTCACTTACTAAGTGATACTAGGGGTGTGTTTGTTTTGGAGTTTGGATTTTGAGTTGGGATTTGAATAGTAAAATATTTGAATCTGAATAGCTGTATGATGTGATATAAATAGGTGTTGATGTGATGTTTTTAATGTAAAATTGATTTTTAGTATAATATAAAAATTGAAAAATAGATGTTTGATTTGAAGTTTTTGGGAGGGAAATTTTTTATGAATAGTGGAAGTTTGGGAAAGCCTCTCAAACAAACACACCCTAAATGTATCAGGTAAAACAAGTTCATAACTAAGTGATTAAACTTGTAACTTAATGCTTAATGGGAAAAGGTATGCTTTTCGTACACTGTGTGGTATGTGATGTTATTGGAGGGTAAATAATAGATTGAATTGAAATAATAATAATAATAATAATAATAATAATAATATAGCACGCTTTATTACGTATAAACTTAAGAATTCAACAATTTAAAAATTTTATTTGGACCTAACGCCCTCTAAGACTAGAAAGTCTACAAAATTGGTATAGATCATGGTCATAATTCAAAGAAAAGCATATTACATTTATGGCCTTGAATCAACAAGCAACTCAAATAGAAAGAAATACCTCAAGATCCATAAAGATACCTAGGTCAATGAACCTTAGAAGCAAAACATCATAGTTTACAATATGCCAGTTACCAAGAAATAGAAGAAATACCTTCTTCTCAGCAGCTGACTTCAATTTCCCCCAAAATGCTTCTGTTGCCACAATCAACATAACCATAGGTAATGTACCAATTTACAACAAAGAAAAGTCTAACTTGATAGTATCTAGATGCCATACCAATAATGCCACTTGCCTAGGAAGTATTATTCCAGAATGATCACCTTCCTCATATAACTAGTCTAGTTCATTCAGTTTGCAGTAAAAACACGAAGATATGCTGAAAAGGGAAATTGTGACCACATAGGAAGTGAAGTTGACAGAAAGAATAGTGCTGTGAAATACACTGCAAGGTTGATTAAATTGCCCTGAAGTTAAAAACAACTAAAGATAGAATAGCTTCTAAACTTTGCTGATACCATTAAGATCTACAAAAAAATAAAAGAAAGAAAAGAACATACTATAAATCTAATTGAAGAAATCCAACAGAATTCTTTATATTGGGCATAAGGAAGCATTGGTTACAAAATGAAACAATACAATGAGCATTCTGCCATGTGTTATTGATACAAAAAGGCCAAAAGTAAGAAAGACTGAATTGGGCTCTCTAAGGCATGCAGTTAGACTGCAGACTGTAATGAGTGTAGCACGCCATTCAAAACCATAAAAAACTAATAAACCCATACACGAGTGGCACCCATGATTGTCAATTCAAGATATCCTCATACCTTTTCTATCCTCAGTGTTCCATCCATCTTGCCACTCTTTTACCTGAAAGAACATTTTACTTTTAGATACCAGAAATCTAGAGATGGGAGCATAAATATTATGCAGTACCTCTGAACTTTGTCCAGATTGAGTTGATGGTCTTGAAGGATCTAATTCTGCCTGAAAGTAGAAAATAACAGCTAAACATTCACAAGTTGAAGGAATGAAAAAAGGAACTGAAGGTGAAAATTGGCCTTCTTAATCTAAATATACACTGCCCTTAAGATCAAGTGATCAACCATTCAACATATAGGAAACAATTCGAGATTAAAAAGTTAATAGAAGTTTTATTAGCTATCTTACAACAACCTTTAAATTTGATATAGTCAAAATATCATATTCCTTCACAGCTTTGTCAAATTCATATATACAGAAGATGAAAATTATATGCTACACAGATTAATGAAACCCAGATTTATAAATTAAAAAAGGCACACTTATGTGTGCTGCTTCCATCTTCTACCAAAGCCAAAATATCGAACAGCCAACATTTGCGCTAATAGTTTTATTGTCTTTTTAGATGTCTTAATCAACAACTTTCGCATTTCGGATTCCGTGCTCTTTCATCAATAATTTCATACAAAATACCCAGTGGTCGAACTTAGATAAACCTAAATGTTATGATTAAGAGAGAGAGAACATCAAAGCGACCAACATTCTTATGCAATGCAATTTTTAACCTCTCACAAAGCTTAACCAAGGGGTATGGTACACAACAAACACACAAGATTGCATTTGTACGAATTCAAACGTACTCACATTGACAAGTAAAAAACCTAGACGTACAGAAATACACACAAAATGGATTCGGATGTTTACGTGATAATCGCGAGATCGGACAACGGGGAAGAGCTCCAACACCTTCTGAAACTCTCGCTCATCCATGGGGCTTCAGGCTTCCGTTCGCGTTTTCGGCAAATAGAAGCGGAATCTGAACGACTGTCTCTCGGGAAATTCGAATCTGCGGAACGAAGGCAGGCAATCAGTCAATCACCCTTAACCACAATTCTACTCTACCCTGCCCTGTTGTTACTATTAAAGTCGCTAGTTGCTCTTGCCAGAATCGCTTTTTACAATTATATATACTCCTTGTTCCTGACCGTCTTCGATATGTTTGGGGCGAGATTAAAATTGAGCGTATAATATTTTTTTTATTTGCATAAGATATATAATAAATAAATAATATTTTTAAATATAAAATCACTAATAATTATTTTTTTCATTTTTATAAAAACATTTTAAATAGTATTTTATAAAATTTATGAAAACAAATAAGTAAAATAACAATATTGGTTAATAATTGATTTTCTCTATTTTTTAGTTATTATTTGTATCTAAAGAATAATTAATAAATATTATTCCTTCCAGCTAATTTGTCTTATTTAACTTAGACATAGAGTTGTAGGTATTGTATAATTAGTAAGTAATTATAATTTAATAAAAATAATTATAAATTAAAATTAATATGACTAAATAATTTAATTGAAATAAAAAAATATAAATTATGAATTTTAAAATATGATTAAAGTGTATAATTATATTATTAAAAAAAAAATAAATTACGTGTGAAAGACAGAAATAAAAATAATTGACAAATTAAATTGGATGAAAAAAGTAATAAATAACCATAATAATGATTTTATTCAATTAATATTTTTAGATAAATTTATTTTTGTTAAGAGACGCAGCCACTGTGTATATATTGTATAGATAGTGTGTGTATGCATGTGTAATTAAATGTGTAGTACTACTATTTGGAACGAAAGGACACACACAATTCTCCTCCCTCACTGTTGACCAAATCAACTAAGGTGTGTTCGTTTGAAGGATTTTGACAAAATTCTGATTCAAAAATTTTTTCTCAAAAACATCAAATCAAATATCTATTTTTTTATTTTTTATATTATACTAAAAATTAATTTTACATTCAAAACATCACATCAATACATATTTATTTCAAATCATACAACTATTACAATTCACATTTTTTACTATTCAAATGACTTGCTTTAAGCAGATGAAAACCGATTGTATATGTGAGTTTAGATTTTTTTATTCGTACACGTCAAATCAAATTATACATTTATTCATTAATCACAAATTTTTTATTTATATTTAAATATTTATTTTTTAAACTATCACATCAATATATTAATTTTTTTAATAAAATAATAATTTATTTAAATATAATCGTTACAAATTCAAACCCCCGAACAAACACATATATAAAATCCTAACTTCAAAATACTCAAAAATTCAAATCTAAAATTCAAACCCACAAACAAACACACCCTATTTTGAAAATTTGATGTTTTAAACTTCTGTTCCAACCGGATAAGTTGCATAGCAAAGTCTCCGACGACCGGGAAAATAAGTTCTGATTATTTCACAGTTGAAATATTGTCATTCTTCCATCTCCAGCAGTTTTTTTTTTTTAAAAAAAAAATTCTTTCTTTATGTTTTTTTCCCAATTTCTACAATGAACGACGACGGCATTTTCGACATCATTGTAACCTTCGATTGCTTTAAATGGATTGCCCTGAAACTATTATCATCCTTCCAACTCTGAGGTTCAAAGAACTCTTCTTTTAAGAGACGGTTTTTTATATTTTTTGTCCTCTTCCTACAAGACAGTGTCACTATCTCAAAACGAAAAATCGAACACAATTTTCCAATCCACAATACAATTGATTTTCCTACTGATGCAAAAATTGAAACGCCAAAGCACAATAATAATTGGAATCATAATTTCTTGGAGTTTTTCAAATAATGGTTGGACAACAAAAAATAATAGAAGAATTCAACCCGTAAATTACATAATCAAAAACTCAAAACTTACACCAAATCAGATCAAAACCATTTCTAAAATCATCTAAGCGTAAAAAAATTGCAACAACTTTGATATACTGCTGCTAGAAATGCAAAAACTCCTCAAAAAATTTTTTTCTTAGAAAGCACAAGAACCGCCTTGAAATTGGGAGGGAGAATTTAGACTTCTTAGATATATAACCAAGTGATTAGGACAGCGGTCGGAGAACAGCAAGATTTCAACAGTGGAATGACCGGAAGTTATATCTGACCATTGGAAATGCGTCGCGTGTGACCCTCACCATTGGAGAAGCCCGCCGCACTAAAGTTTAGACGAAAAGATAAAGAAGAAGTGGAGAAATTTAATAAAAAATTAAAAAAAAATAAAATTTACAGATTGCGCCATGTGGCGCGTGGCGCAATCTGGGCACATGTTCCGGGTGCAGGATCGAATTAACCGCACTTCTCTCTCTCCGTGCACACTCATTTATTGCTAATACATACATATCTTTATTACACATATATATAACCATACATACATATAGTTATATTTATGTCACCATATGCATAATATCACATACATACGTCACATCACATATATATATACTATATATATTCATACTTACAAAACTTACCTACTTACTTACACTATCTTCGTCTCTTATATATGTATCCGTTTGTTTTTTGCACGAAAATTTAAAAATATTAGTATTATATTGAGATATAGTATAAATAAAGTAGAAAAAACTAAAATAACTCATTAGTATTGTGTGAGGTAAAGGTAATGATATTTGTGTAATATATTGTAAGTTGTAAGAGTATTTTTAATGTTAGTAGAATGTACAATTACTAAAAAAGAAAATGAATATTTTGTTATGGGACTGAACAAAAATAGAAAATTGATAAATTGTTAAGGGATGGAGGGAGTATTATTTATTATATAGCATGTTATCAGCATAAAGGTTTTTATCTATTTTATTTGTAGTAAGTTTTATTTTTATACTATTTATATTATCTATTTTTTAAAATTATGGAAAATCTTGCAAAATTTTCTTTTAAACATTTTTCTTTCACCGGTAATAATTTTTTGACTTGGTCCCTGGATGTAGAAATGCATCTGATATAGGCCTTGTTCATACAATTTCTAGTGAAAATACGGTTACAAGTCATGATTGAGCAAAGACTATTATTTTCATTCGTCACCAGTTGGACATTCCTTTACAGTCCGAATATTTGACGGTGAAAGATCCACTTGATTTTTGGAATGAATTAAGGGAGAGATTTGACCATTTGAAATATATCACTCTCCCGAAAGCTCGACATGATTGGCTTAACTTGCGATTGCAGGATTACAAAATTGTTACAGAATATAACTCTACTATCCATCATATTCTCAGTTAAAACTCTGCGGAGAAAATATTACTGAGAATGATAAATTGGAAAAGACTCTCTCTACCTTTCATGCTTCTAATGTTGTGCTGCAACAGCAGTATCGTGAAAAAAAAAATTCAAAAGTACTCATAGCTCATAGCATGTCTTTTATTAGCCAAGAAAAACAATGAGTTATTGATGAAAAATCATCAGTCCCGGCCCACTGGTTCCAGTATGTTCCCTGAAGCGAACGTGACATTTTCTGAACGAGACCGAGGACATGATAGAGACCGTGGACGCAGTCGCGGTCGTGAGAGTCAACGCGGTTGATACACCCCTTACAATCACCGCGATTTTGACATTAACAGGAATCAGCGTAAATCCCAATATGAGGATATAACATAAAAAGGCTAAATAGAGAAATAGGCAAATCGACATTTGTAATCGGTGTTGCATTGAAGGCCATTGAGCCAATACCTGCAGAACAACCAAACACCTAGCCGATCTTTATCAAGCCTCACTGCAGAAAAAGGGGAAGGAGGTCGAGATTAATCACGTTGATAATGAAGACGACCTCTATGATGATCTTCTGGATTATGACACAACGCATCTTGATATAGCTGATTTTTTTGTCGATTCAGCAAACCCCCAGTGACAAACATACTATGTCATTTTACATTATGCTATTTTATATTTTGTAATATTTAAATTGTCGCATATTACCTTTCTGTAATGCATTTTGTAATAGTTATAATTGTCTTTATTAATACAGCGTTTATTATATTTGAAGGTTAAATGGATGTCAATCAAAATGAGGCAAATATGTGTTTCATTGACAGTGCAACGACACATACTATATTGAAACATGAAAAATATTTCTCCTATTTGAAAAGAAAAATGATGAATGTCAATATAATAAGTGGCAGTGTGAAATTAATTGAAGGCTCTGGAGAAGCCATTATATTTCTCCCTGCGGGGACAAAAATTATGATACAGTATGCACTGTTGGCCATTAAAGCTCGAAGAAATTTACTGAGCTTTCATGACATTTGGAAAAATGGTTATCACGTTGAAATTATGAGTGATACCAATGGTGAATTTTTATTGATCAACAATATCATTGATAAAAGGAAATGCATCGTAGACAAAAAATTGTGTTATTTTTAATAAACACAAAAATTTGTATAAATTATATTTAATTTGGATTTAAAGCGGATCCTATTCTCTAAATAGGTCCTTTGATTCTCCTTCCGGGTCGATTTGTTTTCCAACTTGGTTTTCGATGACTTCTTTAATTCGAAGAGATTTGGTCTTCAGTTTGATTTTGCCGGACTTTGAAGGGTTTTGGTGTCCGTGTAGGCGATTTGATCGGCGGCTTTGGATTTGATGTCCTCTTTGGATGATCCGAGACTTTGATCTTTGATTTGGCTTTGCCGCCTTTTGGAGAGCTTTGGTCTCTGTCTAGGCGATTTGATCATCGACTTTGAATTTTATGTCTTCTTTATACAATTGGAGGCTTTGATCTTTACTTTGATTTTGCCATTTTTTGAGGACTTTGGTCTTCGTGTGGGCGACTTGATTGTCGGCTTTGGATTTGATGTCTTCTTTGGACGATCCGCGGCTTTGATATTTGATTTGTCTTTTCAGCCTTTTGGAGAGCTTCGGCCTCCGTGTGGGCGATTTGATCATCGGCTTTGGATTTGATGTTTTCTTTAGACGATCCGCGGCTTTAATCTTTGGTTTGGCTTTGCCGCCTTTTGGAGAGCTTTGGTCTTCGTGTCGGCGATTTGATCGTCGACTTTGGATTTAATGTCTTCTTTGGACGATCCGCTGCTTTGATTTTGGTTTGCCTTTTCCGCCTTTTGAAGA